ACATTGCTATGATCAATACATCCCTTTTTTTTCTTAGGACTTTTCATTTTCCATTTTGTTTCCCTCGAAATAGTTAGGGCTTAAGCCCATTAGGCTTGAATTTAAATGGAAACATGCATTTAAATCGATTTGGTGTGCATGCAATATATATTGGCCCATGGCCTGCTATACAAACTAAGGTATGGATTAGGTGCTCTGCCATAAAGCCCACTAGTTTGGAGGATTTTTTTGTCTTTTACTCTCTTTTCTCAGTTTTTAGATTCTTTCCGCTTGGTTTGCTTTCCTGTAACATATAAGAAGGACCTAAGATTCTGAGCACTGAATCCTTAAAATGCTCATTAGCTACAAATATTTTTAATGTTACTGATAAAACATCACCCGCTAGTTTCTAAATTGGAGAAAGTACATCTCCTCAATGAAAAAGAAATAATAGAATTTACTATTAAACTATATATGCACAGTTACAAATGCTAAACCATCATTACGATAAGGATTATTTTCATCTCGGCATTATGTAATATGGTGTAATAATACAAGTGATCATGGAGTCTATGTATCTACGCAGATAATCTTAATATTATTAATTGAGATTGCTCAGGATACCCGGATGTAAATAATCCTTTTTGTAGATATACACGTGATAACATACGTCGAAATAACAAAATAATAGAAAAATAACTAACAACTAGTAATTATTTTGATAATTGGGCTCGAATAACTTCCATTTTCCATTTAAATGTACCTGATTTGACTATGTTTGCTAATTAGTATTATAACTTCAGAACCGTAACTAAATCCAGTATTTACTCTTTTTTTTCATCAATTAATTCAAATCCAGTACGGTACTGTAACAAAGATCACCTAATACAAACTTAAGCAAGATATTTCTCGCTTGTCAGAGATATGACTGCTGTTCCCTATATAACCCAACGTAGGCAAATAATATCCCCGCCCCCCTCCCCCCCCCCCCCCCCTCTCTCTCTCTCCTCTCTCTCGTCTCTCTCCTTATATATATATATATATATTTATATATATTATATATATATATTATATATATTATATATATATATATATATATTATATATATATTATATATATATATATTCCTTTATACAAAAGGGAGGAATTAACAAAGAGCCACTTGTTATGCCTACAGTAAATGCTACAGTAGATTACTACTGGCGCTTATTACTGTAGCTATATCTGAGTATTCAAAGGCCACTGTATGCAGATCTGGTACTGTAGAGCTCGCGGAGGTACTGTAGCAGCGATGTTACGTGCTAGCCCAGCCCATAAAAATTCAAAGCGGGAGAATTTGAAAACGGCGGGAATACTGTAGCAAAAAAAAAAAAACCGTGCTTTGCACGGGCCCCACACTAGTATATATATATATATATATGAGAAAAATGAGTATACTTGGTACTAAGGGGCTGTTTGGTTCAATAGAGTGTAGGAATATGATTAGGAATCCTATTTTATTTATGGATTCCAACCTAACCCATAAAATTTTTATAGACAAGTTGAAGTTTTATGGAATCCTATTTTTTTAGCATTCTATGTTTGTTTCTCCCAAAGGATTAGGAATCTAACATTTATAGAATTGGAATCAATTCCTAATACCATGTTTGCTTCAAAAAGTCTCTTTTTTGGGAATAAACACTGTAGCAACAGCAGCCTCTTTATCAATTTAAATAATCCTGTAGCAACGGCTAGAAGAGGCATAATTTCATATTTTGTGCTGGAATCACTGTAGCAACGGCTCTTTTCAGCCTCAAAAAATTCAGATTTTAAAATTCTTAGTCAGAACACTGTAGCAACGGCTAGAAGTGGAACATGGTGGCTATAAATTCACCTTGAGGCCTCACAATTAATCCAAACATTCTCAATTTCAGCATTTATAAAATCCCCATTGTCTTCAATTTGCTGTCCCGACATGAAAATGATATCAGAAGAGTGCTGGCAGGATTATGAAGTTTATTGCGACTGCCATCTCCGAACACCGATGAAAGTGTGCAAGAATGGTAAAAATAAGGGTAGGTGTTATTGGGGGTGTGCAAAATTCCCAAATAAAGAATGCAATTTTTTCGAATGGGCTGAAGAAAGAGGAGAGTCATCAAGCAACCAAGGAAGCCAATATGTCAAAGAAAATAGGTACGGAGAAAAATATAATTTGCAATCAAAGAAGCTGAAGAAAGAATTGAGACTTGTCGAAAATCAACTACTAGTTTGGAAAATTTCTGCAATTTTCTTAGCAATTTTTTGTGTTATTTTAATTATTACAAACTTCATGTCATGTACCTGTACTTGCAAAAACTACTGAGGATGTAATGAAAACTGTTGTTTGAACTGGGTACAAATTCTTATTGATATTGTATGGCTCAGTAATAGATCAACTTGTCATCATTGATTGCCCCACCTATAACTTAAACATGTTTATTACAGATTGCATTATAAAGATGAATTGCCCCGCCTAGACATTGCCAATTCAATGTAATGTAGGCTGCAATCTCATCTCAAATATTGCCTCATCTGGATATAATAAACGATGTAAGTTAGGTTGCATTCTCAGTATACGTTGATCATCATCATTGCCACATATCAAGTGCAAGGAAAACCAGCAGCAGCAGCAAATGCTGCACAAAGCAACCAGCAGCAGCAACTGCTGCACAAAGCTCAAAACAGGCACAAACCAGCAACCAGCAGCAGCAAATGCTGCACAAAGCAACCAACAGCAGCAGCAAATGCTGCACAAAGCAACCAGCAGCAGCAACTGCTGTAGAAAACTCAAAACAGGCACAAACCAGCAACCAGCAGCAGCAAATGCTGCACAAAGCAAACAGCAGCAGCAGCAAAACAAAGCAACCAGCAGCAGCAACTGCTGCAGGAAGCTCAAAACAGGCACAAACTAGCAACCAGCAACAGTATGAGCTGCAGAAAGCTCAAAACATGAACAAACCAACCAGCCTGCTGCAGAAAACTCAAAACAGGCACAAACCAGCAGCAGCAAATGCTGCACAAAGCAACCAGCAGCAGCAGCAAATGCTGCACAAAGCAACCAGCAGCAGCAAATGCTGCAGAAAACTTAAAACATGCACAAACCAGCAACCAGCAGCAGCATGAGTTGCAGAAAGCTCAAAACATGAGCTCACCCAAACATTTCAAGTATCAGCATGAGCTGCAGAAAGCTTACCTGATATCAAAATATAATCGGAAAATTCAAAGAAATCAATGATCATTCCACGACCTTACCTGCAACAAAGATTGCAAATATACCAATTCATCAATCCCACAACGACATAGATGTTCTTCATAATAAAAATATATATTGCAACATTAATAGTTTGCAATTAACACAACAATATCCATCAAAATATAATCGAAACCCAACAAACTAGCTATCCGGCCAACCTTGGTCGTTAACTAATTTTGTGATGTACCTCTGTTGACCTTCCTTAGATTTAATGAAAAACCTCCTAGCTTCACGTTCATTGTCATATAAATGGTCTAAAACCCTATCGAGGAACTCCTCGGAATATTCAGACCTATGTTCCTTCAACGCTCCAGCCAACTGCTCAGTCCAGTGTATAACGTGTTGATTTCTCATTGACTGAGACATGGACTCAACAAAGGCACACAACATTTCCTCTTCACGATTAGATTTTCTGGTTTTTTTGTTAGATGGTGAAGTCGTGTTGTCTTTACTCTTAGTCTTATATGTAGTGGGTTGTGGTTGGTTAACAGTACCAGAACGTGGTTGGTTGCAAGCATCAGACTGTGGTTCAGCTTCACTCTCCTCTAGAATCTCGCAATCATCATCGGGAATAGGTATGGACCTACTAGACCCAATGTTAGCGTACACGGGTCTAACAAAATCACCCTTGGCTTGATCATCACCCATGATAACTTGTAAATTTTTGAAGTGAGGAAGGGGTTTGTTTATGTATGCTTTGTACTTAGAATTGGATTTGTCCTGCAATAATAAATACTTATAAATCCAGAGAATCAAATGTATTTAATTGAATGTGATAATATAGATGCTGAATTTGTTATACCTGGGCCTAAGATTTCAAGGTTTCCTCATCCAATGTAATCATTTTACTTGTTTCATCCCACCCAGCACCACTTATATCAAGGCAAGCTTTCATGTCATTGAATTTGTTCCGCAAACATTTCAAGTGGTTAATGACATGCAGGTGAGTGAAATCAGTCCTGAATTGCATGTTGATTTTCATGGCAGCCATTTTATAAGCTTCAGCCTTGAAGTTCTTGTCTGGCTTCATGCCATCCAATGCTAAATCTGCAAGATAAGGAATAAGCACATCATCGTGCTCTGGAAGCCAAAACTTATTAGTCACGCCTCTTGAGTTCAACCTGGTACACGGAACTTTTTTTTGTGGGCTAATCTTTTCCCTCTTTTCAATGGCGAAGTGTGCTCCGCACCATCAACGTCATGAATATCCTTTCCAACTGAATCACCGGTGTTTGATGAAAATTGATTAGGTCCACTACTTTGAGAACTGGTTGTGGGAAACATCAAACCTTGTGGACTGCCTAACAAGCTCATGTATGACATTGGCGGCTGTGTCATCCCACCATAATTACCATCCCATGGTGGGAATGGTGAGAAAGTATGCGGAGGTGAGGTGAATGGCTGTGGTCGAACAGGCATGTAGTTCATGTTAATCCCTGATGTAGGACTTGGCATTGCATTCGAATGAGAAGGCACGCTTTGCTTATCTGCCGGATTGTTAGCCATACCTAATATAATTTGTAAGCATAGCCATATTAACAATAAAGAAATATAAAACAATATGGGATATGTATGCATTTAGCAGGGAATATAGTAAACGATGATATTTCTAGTTCAAACAACATAACAAAATAGCAAGTGATAAAAGTAGTAATGGTTTGTTACAAGCAAAGAAACAATAAACGATATCGATGTGAACAGTATGTTAAAATTCACCAAGTTATTACATAGCCATAGGACAAATATCACACTAAGTTAAACCGCTCTCCATTATGTTACCACCATTGTACTTTGCACAATAATCCACCCACATCGCCCAAGCAATTTGATCTCGTAACTCCTTCCATTCATTTCTAACATCTCGATCCTCTCTTTGTGACCTACTTTGAGTATAGTCCATCACATTTGAATCGTCCTCATTTGTCTCTTCCCCAGTATCTTCATCAATTTCAACCTTTTCATTTAAAATATCATCATCCGGATCCTCCAAGGCAATAAAGTTGTGCAACACAGTACACGCTAGTACAATGTCCACTTGAGTGGGAAATGGATAATTCGGCTTCCCCGCAAGAATTTTAAACCGATTCTTCAGTATCCCAAATGTGCACTCAATTTTTGATCTTAAAGATGAATGCCTTAAATTGAACAACTCCTTCCTATTCTTTGGTATCCTACCGGTGTGCTCTTTTAAATGATATCGGACACCGTGGTACGGGGATATGAAACCTGGCATTGTGGTGTATCCAGCGTCACATAGGTAATATTTACCTACATTAATTAAACAGTATTTTAAAATCTCAAATATTGCCAAGTATTTAATATATTATTCATAATATGCACAAGTGAGAATGAATATCATCGTAAACTCGGAGCCCGTAAGGCTGTGGCCTGGACAGGGCGTCTTGTAATACCCTATAATCATTTGCTGCCCTCTCCCAGCCAGCCAAGACATAAGTAAATAGTTTATTGGGGGTGCAGGCTGCTAAGATATTTTGGGTGACCCCTTTTCGCCCTCTAAACCGTGCAACTAGGTCACTAGGTAACACCGCGTCGACGTGTGTGCCATCTATCAAACCAATACAGTCCTATAAAAAATTATAAATTATACATAGTTAAATAAGAAAAAGTTTATTTGGAAATTTATTAAGTTGTATGTATTTAATTTACCTTAAAGTACGGAAAATAATTTGAGTTGTTTGCAATCTCCTCGGGAACTTCTTTTGGGGCTTGCTTCATGTACCGATCACGTAATCCATTCATTGCAGACAAGACTTTATTGAAATACCTGCTCACTGTTTCCCCTGATCTTATGAACTCAGTTCTTATTATTCTATTTTTAGTTTTGTGCCCAACAATACTTAGGAACATAGCAAGCTGTTCTTCAACTTGAACGTGTCTTGTATCTTTTAATAAACCGTTTGCTTTCATTACTTCAACAAGTTTAAAAAAGGCCATCGGTCTCATTCTAATATAAGATTGGCAGCTATCTTGATAGCCCTCCAATACACGTCTGAAATGAGCCTCTCTACAACTTATTTTCCTGACCCTTTCTTGCGGCGAACATTTTGGTATTCTCTTGCGCTTAGCACGCATTCTCAAAATACATGTTACCAAAGTGACCACGGCGCAGACAGCTGTATTAGCACACATCCTCTTCAATTCTTCCTCATCTTCCATATCCATCTACAACCGTTTTAAAATTATCATACAGTTACAGCTTAAGATGGCTACTTATTTCTTGTCAAAATTAAGTAGATAATTGATACAAATATTTATTTCTTTTAAAGCAAGAAATCTAATTGCAATAATAAATTATTTTAACTAATGTTGCATTCCATCTCACACAATTCTAAACAAGCAAGATAGACCCAAAACAAACAAACTATATGGTTAGATTACTAATAATTTACACGCACACAAAAAATGAAATAAAGTAAAAAAAACAGCAATTTAAGTTATTAAAAGACTGATTTGAATATAATATTCATGCATTAATCTCTAACAGATACCGCATGAAATTAATCTACCTAAAATCCTAATTTCTTGACATTTACAAAAACTCCACTACACGAGATACCGCATCAATTGTTTTGCTAGTACATATTGAATGAATTATCGACAACATCATTGAAATTTGCTGATCAGCCTATTTCATCATATGCTTCAATTAAATTTAATTCCTCAACACACTGAAACGAATTGAAGCAACAGTCACAGAGGGAGAATTTTTACTATCTTACTCAGAGGGGGGGGGAAAATGCCGACGTTCACTGCCAGAAAACCCACCGGACGTCAAAGGAAAACACCGTACGACACTGCCACCAGAACACAGATCGAAGAAAGACGGCCCGAACCCAAGTTGAAGAAGACCAACAAAGGAACCAAGAACTCGAAGCAAGAAGACCACCAACAACTCGTGAAACAGCGCTAAGGGTTTCGAGAAGAGGCTCCGAACCCAAGTTGAAGAAACGGAAGCGGCGGGAGCATTAGCGCGAAAAGAGGCGATTGAGGAGGAGCGGCACAGCATTCAGATGCTATGATCGAAATCGTGAAGATGAAGGCATCGGACATGGACGACATAAGCTCACTGTCCAGCCAAATCATCCCCAAACTACCGAACCCAAGCTCGTGATTGGGTTTTAATACAAACGAAAACTGTAGCTACCTTTATAGCATTGTAATCGCAAAATTTTGCTGAGCAAACTCCAGAATCCAGGATTCCCAAAGAAATCCAAATATTACGAAAATGCACTGATCAGTACGGCAAGCCAAAACTAATCTATTAGCTATAAAGAGGGGAAAACAAAAGCCTAAGCATAAACTTTTTGTGTTTTGAATTGGGTGTCTCATTCTCAATACCACTTATTCAATGGCGGAACCAACATTTCACAATTTTAATGTGGTCCCCCATCTTGAATGAGTGGCAAGATAATACATGCTACCGAAAAATGATTTAAGAGCCTACATATGAGACCACTGGGAGGAAACAGGAGGTGTCCCATCCCTGATTGTGATAATCGAAGTTGGAATGCAACTCATGCAACCATTATGGTATATAGGAGGGGACACTCACTTGTCCCTTTCCTTGGTCCATAACTTTTGGGTCCCAGGTGTAGCAATATAGAGAGAGAGAGAAGAGAAATACCCGTAGGACTTGTACCAAACACAACTTTATGTATTAACGTAGGTGAAAGGTGGCACATCTCATCCAGCCCACTCTCTCAAATGGACCAATTTAAATGAGTTAGCAGGAGTACATTCGGATAAGTGCAACCGTGTTTGAATGAGTGGTAGGGAATTATGTACCATTTACTATCCATTGAGACATAACTTTTATACTTGGTACCAAGCCAACTCATTTCTCTCTCTCTCTCTCTCGTTCTCTCTTCTACTATATCGTAATATAACCTAGTACCATTACTACTACTATACTATGACATATACTATATATTATACGCTTACTAACCTCATAACACTAATACGCGAACTATAGCGTATTAGAGCGAACACAGCTTAATGTCATAACTTAGAGATCATAAAACCCATTCAAGTTTCTATCCATTGACTGATTAATCGTAGGTCTGTGCTCATAATGAGAGAGCTTTTAATCAATGAGAACTTTGATGGATGGTCCACTTAAATTGACATAAGTTTGCTCATCTCTCTTGTTAATAATACCCCACCTTAGCCATATGACATACCGGTATACAAACCTACCCTCTGAGTATCTCGCTATATAATAACTATATAGAGTAACCCCCTATACGATACGTATCATATATATAAGTAATATTATACCCATATAATACTATAATACCGCTATATAATATTATATACTCTATACGTACCTCGCTCAAGCGCCACTGGATACCCTAAGACCTATATGTATTATGACTATCATATACATACATATATATACTATACCTAACGGTATCGTACCTACTATATAGTAACTACTATACAGGCATAATCAATATAATGCAGTATACACTGTAATCCGTAAGCCTGAGATTAATTGAGTATTCTTGACAAGGAGGGGGATTTCCTCCTTGATAATAATGTGGCATAATCTCCATCATGTGAAATTCTCTATCCTGTTTTATTCTCTCTCTTTCACATGGTGAGGATTATGCCACATCATTGTCAAAGAGGAAAATCCCCTCCTTGTCAAGGATACCCTAATACATTTGATTTGATTATTATACTCTTAAAACTAAAAATTAAAAATTATATAAAATATATGTTACTAAAAATATTGTCATCTGATGCTTATACATTCGTCTACATTGATGATTATTTAAATTAATTAATTTGAGGCTTGCGTCGAGGAATAATTCAAAGCAGTATATGATGGTTAGGGGTGGAAACGAACCAACTATTTAATAAACAATTCGCTTAATATTCATCAAGATATTCGGCTATATTCGATCTGACGGGGTATTTAATACTAAATGAATATTTTTAGTTATTCAACTTACAAACAAATAGAATTTAACTAAAGTTATATTTGATTAGGCTGATTATTAACTATTCGGTAACCTTTTTATGTTAATCCTATTAATTAAACTTATTACAAATATTACCCATCAAATTTTTTTTACAACTTCTTCCTCATATATAGATAGACTTATGAGGTTATTATTTGTTCAGATATTTGATCAAGTCTGTTCGGTAGTTCATTTAGTACTAAACAAATAAGTTTTAGCATTAGGCTTATAAATGGATAGAATTTAACAAAAGGTATGTTCGTTTCGGGAGTCCATTAACTATTCGATTAATTTTTGCATTTTAGTCCTATTAATTGAATTTATTGCAAATATTACTTATCTAAAATTTTATTTACAAATGCTCTCCATATAAATAGCTAAAAGAGAGGATTCTAGAGCTAGAGTTTCGCTTTTCTTCTTCGTTTCTATCAGCCTCCTCCTCCATCAGATCTGATCGCCCCCTCTCTCTCTCTCTCTCTCTCTCTCTCTCTCTCTCTCTCTCTCTCTCTCTCCACTCCTCCTCCTTCAGATCTGATCGGTTCCTCTCTCTCTCCCCCCTCCTTCAGATCTAACTCTAAGTATATGAGCTTCTCTCTCCTTTTTCTCTCTCCTCCTTCAGATCTGTGACTCCAAGTGGATTTTAGAGCTTGGGTATTCATTGTTCTCCATCAAAGCTGGTTGCTCACTCCTCTCTCAAAGCTCGTCCTTCGAATCTCGTTGCATCGAAGCTCGTCGTCCCTCAAATTTTGTCGTCGACTTCTCCCTCGAATTTTCATCGTCGACTTCTCCTTCGAATCTCGTCGTCGACTCCTCCCTCGAATTTCGTCAGTTTTTTGTCGGCTTTGGGAAAATCACTGTCTTTCTTAGGGAAAATTGTCAGATTTTTGCTTTATTTGCTGGATTTCAGAAAATTATAGGTATAATTTCTCCATGATGTTCCCTTTCGTTGATTAGTTGATGAATAATTTGATATCAAAACCATTAAATATTGTTAATCGATTGTTTCCCTATTTTTAGTATTTTTTATGCTTAATTTCATGCTAGATTCGTTAAATTTGGTTGATCTATCTCATCTCACGAATTACAAACCCTAGATTTGGTCGCTCTTTTTTCTTTTTATTCCCACAAATATAGCTAAATGAAATAATCTACATGGGAATAAATTACGACACATATAGTTAAATGAATTAATCTCATAAATAATTTTTTTTATTTTATTTTTTTGTTTTAAGCACTCTATATTTTC